TGGAGGCATTTCTACGATTGCCTTTGTTTTATCAGGGTCTACCTCAATTCCTTTTTTTACTAACAATAAACCCAAGGAGTTTTCCTGATCGTACTCCGAATGTGCATTTAGCCGGATTAAGCTTGATCTGGTATTTCTGAAGCCGATTGAATAACTTCTTTAAGTATTGGAGGTGATCTATTTCGTTTTTGGACTTGGCGATCATATCATCCACATATACTTCGATTTCTTTGTGGATCATATCATGAAATAATGTTACCATAGCCCTTTGATAAGTAGCCCCTGCATTCTTAAGTCCAAAAGGCATTACTCTATAACAGAATGTACCCCAAGGCGTAATGAAGGAAGTTTTTTCTCTGTCTTCCACAGCCAATTTCATTTGGTTATACCCTGCATATCCATCCATGAAAGAATAGAGAGTATTTGTAGCGGTGTGATCTACCAGCATATCAATATGCGGTAAGGGAAAATCATCTTTTGGACTTGCACGGTTTAAATCCCTGTAATCTACGCATACTCTGATTTTTCCATTTTTCTTTACAACTGGCACAATATTGGCCAACCATTTGGGGTATTTTGATACAATCAGAAAGTTGGCGTCCAATTGTTTTTCTACTTCTTCCTTAATTTTTAAGGACCATTATGGTTTTACTCTTCTGAGCTTTTGCTTAATGGGCCGAAATCCCTCTTTTAGTGGTAATCGATGCTCCACTATGCTTTTATCAATCCCAGGCATATCATGGTAGGACCATGCAAATACGTCCACATATTCTTTTAGTAGTTGTATCAGCCTCTCCCTGACATCATCATCAATTTGGGTTCCAATATTTACTTCTTTCTTATCATCTTCTTGTCCCAAATTGATGGCCTTAGTTTTCTCCTGATGGGGCTGTATTGATTGATATTCTTTTTCCAACAGTCTTTGCATGTCCGGGGAAATGGTCCCCTCCTCACTGTCTGACTCAATCCATTCGCCTTCGGCTTTCGGATCTTCCAGAGAGTTTTCAATCACAGACATGATTGTATGGTTATGCTTTATTTTAGATTTCTTTATTAAGGATGTGAGAGAGAAAAGAATGAAAGAGAATATGAATATTATGAAAAAATGCCTTATTATATTGACAAAAAGAAATATTTACAAAGCCCACTTTAATCAAAAATCCCGTGATCATGGACGAGGATCACGAGAGATACATCGGTAGCTTGAATATTTTTTTGTATATATTTTTTATGTTTATTATATATTTTTAGAGATCGCAAAAATGATGAACCCTAAATTGCTGGTCTTCCCTATCCCGTCTTTTATTCGGGCTTTGATAAGGGCTGGTCATCCACCTTTGGAGTAGATGCGTCAAAGGTAATCCATCCCGCCTCTATCAGATTCTGGACCTTGTGCTTTAAGGCCATACAATTTTCAACGGAGTGTCCAGGGGAACCTGAATGGTAATCACAGTTTTCATTAGCTTTATACCATTCTGGGTAAGGTGGCTCCATTTTCTTGGGAGGGACGCGCACAAGGAGTTTGGCATCCAATAATTTTGAAAGCAAACTTCCATAGGAGGTTGGGATTGGAGTGAATTTTCTCTCTTGTCTGCGCAGCTTGGTTTGTTGCGAGGAAGAAGAAGGGATGGCAATGTTGATTGCATTCACGGTTTCTTCCTTCTTCTTTCCATGGCTCTTCTTAACATTTGGAGCAGGGGAGTTGCTCCACTCTTTTCAGACCTTGCTCTACTCTTTCTCCTATAATGACCACATCCGCGAAGAGTGTTGATGTGTTCCCTATCATTTTGTCATAATAGGGACCAGTCAAGGAATTGATGAACATGGATGTAGTTTCTTTATTAGATAGAGGAGGTTCTACTTGAGCTGCTAATTCCCTCCATCTTTGAGCATATGCCTTGAAGGTTTCTTCATCTTTCTTGCTTAGTAATTGTAGATCTGCTCTTTCAGGGGTTAGATCGATATTGTAAAGAAAAGCGTCCGCCAGATGTCTCCAGGTTTGGATTTGCCCTCCTTCCAATTGCATATACCAATTTAGGGCTGATTCAGCTAAGCTTTCCTGAAAGCAGTGGATCAGGAGCTTTTCATTATCCGCATATGCAGCCATCTTACGGCAGTACATTGTAAGATGGCTTTTGGGGCAGGTCATTCCCATGTATTTTGGGAAGTCCGGAGTTTTGAACTTGTTAGGGAATTGGATATTTTTGACGAGGCACATATCAGCTGTCTCTTTAACATCAAAATTATGCCCTTCCATGGCTCTTAATCTCTCTTCAAGGGCAGTCAGCTGTTGTTTTGATACTTCCGGAGCATGAATATGTACTGCCCTTGTACCAGATTGGTCATGCTCATCATTGGGTTCCTCCTCTTCTTCTTGGTGGGAGGCTTGTCCACTTTGAGGACCTTCCTTATGGAGATTTTGCTGGCGCATCATTTCCAACATTTGAGCCATTTGCTCTTTCAGCATGTTGAGCTCAGTGGTAAGCTTTCGGTTTTGCTCCTCTAGCTGTTCCATCTTTTTAGCTTTCTGGGCACGAGTGAGGACGGGCGGAAGACCAGCCACTTTCTAAATGATTTTAACGATTTTTATTATAGCTTTTTATTTTAAATGATTGATGTGAAATAGATATGCCTTAGACAATAGCTTCGGTATTTTCTCAAAAGCCTATGTTTTAAGGGTACCTTACCCATCTTAATGTGTTAACTTCCTTTTTTCAAAGGTTGCCAACATACCTTAGCGTACTTATCTCTTTTGCTATTGTCTAAGGAGATCTAATACATCCTAGAATGAATGTGTTTAGGTATGAGAGATTTTATTATGATGATGCTTATGCATATTTTCCTTGATGCATTTGTTTTCTCTCTTAGTTTTACCACTTATTGGATGATGTGGTATGAATGATACGACTTTGCCAAGAATCTTTTTATTACAAAAGGTATTTTTATGGCTTTAATTTGTTTTTATATTTTTTATGACCCTTTATCTCTTCTGTCGGTCAACGTGGCTACTTAGCTTACAAAGAACCTGAAACCAGGCTAGCTTAACTGAAGACTGTCTGAGATAAAGGTGGTTATCTTCTCACTTTTTGATTTTTAGGGTTTTCATTTTTGTTTGTTATATGATTACCCTATGCTAATGCATCAATACAAATGCAGCAAACGAATGCACACATAATTCATTCACCCACGAGCAGAGCCACGCTTATTTAATCACGAGGTAGGGTTTTCCTACAGAAACGTGCTTGGTTTAGGTGGTTCTAAACTGTTCTCACCAAGGCCAAAGGTCCCCAAGGTGCCCCCATTATAGGAACCTCTCAATCTCTCAGTCCTCGGGTCATGCACAGAACTCCGTGTCGACATCCTTAGACCAAAAGAAGAGAGTTATCACCTTGAGTTGGTGGTTTCCGACAATGGTTGTAGCCCCGTGTGCCAACAAGTCGGTCGTATCTGCCACCCACTCCCTATAGGTATTCACTCTTGCCCCTGGGTATAGAGGGAATGTTGTGTGCAAGGGCTTTTGTGTGCAATTTATATTTCAAACAATTTGCAGAAATAATCATACAGCAATTATTAAAGCCATACAATAAAAAATACGAAAAAAGGGTAAAGGCGTAATTTCAAATCTTTACTTAGTTTGAGTTTTATCCGTCACTAAATGGGATCAACTCTCTAGCTTCCCCGGCGGAGTTGCCATCTGTCGCCGCCGTCCGTTCCGACGTCTAGGGACATCTCGAATGTTTATGCGAGCGGTCGCAAAAAGATGGTTTAGACTCGCGTTTTATGTTTAAAATATGTTCATTGCTTCCGAGGTGCTCAACAACTGAACTATCCTCTAATAGAAGCAAGGTTTTCGAAAAAGGGGTTCTTTTGGAGTCGCCACCAATGTTTTGACCTTAAACATTGGAAAAGGAAAAAGATGTTGATTTTAAAAAACCGCACTTGGCCATTATAACCAGAGTTGGGTAAGGGAGTTAGTTACGTGTGGGGAAGGTGTTAGCACCCCACAACGCCCCTTTCGGGTTCCCTATGACGGATTAATTCATTTGAGTAAAGATTACAAAAAATTACGCTATTACCCTATTTTATTCATACAATATTTAAATATGACTATCTACATGATTTTATTTACATTTCATATATAAAGCGGTAAATAAAGTAGTAAAAAAGAAGAGAATTGGAAAGAACCTCCATAGCAAGCTTTGTATTGCAACTCTTTTACAATAAGGATGCGTTTCGGCAGTCCCTCGCTCTACAATGACTCTCCTCACGAATAAACTCGACTCGACTAAAATTTTACAGAAGAATCGAATGCCGGAATATAATTCCTTAACTGATTGTTACCTATTTAAGGCAATCAGAAAGATCATTCGAAGGAGGGAGAGAAGTAGACAAGTGCTCTGAGTTGTCTGGAGTGTGGAAAATGAGCAAATGAGCCTCCTATTTATAGTTTTCGCAGCCTGGCACCTTGGGACGGCCATCTGGGACTCAGAAAACAGGGATGAGCATCTCAGGAAGTTGGGACGGCCGTCTGGAAGTTGGGACGGCCGTCCCACTTGAATTTTGACCTTGGGACGGCCGTCCCAAATTTGGGACGCGCGTCTCACTTCTCCTAGGTTGTTTGGGACGGTCGTCCCACATTTGGGACGGCTGTCTCAACTTGTTCTGGCCTGTTTTTGTGTTCTAGGACCCCCGGGAAGCTTTCCTTGCTATTTTCGGATGTTGTTTGATACCGATGGATGTCCGTTGAAGCTTCATCTTCATATAGGAAGTCTTCTTAGCCCTTGTTGAGATGTCGGACGAACTTTATCTTCGTTTGTAGGAGGTCTCCTTAGCCTTTATCGAGAAGCCGTATGAACTCCGTGTTGTTGTAGGAGGTCTCCTTGGTTTTTATTAAGAAGCTGGGTGAACTTCATCTTCGTGTGAAGTTTCCCTAGCTTTTATTGAGAGGTCGGGCAAAATTAGGGGTCTACACTTGTATGTTTCAACACATCTCAATATTGATGGAAAAACCATTCAACAAAGCACCAACAAGGAAAAAAAAACCACCTACAAACATTGAGGTCTTGCGTCCCATCATTCTTGTGGTGGTGGAAGCCCAAAAAGAAGCTATTAATGCAACAAGATATAATGAAGAGGTGAACAAAGTAAGGAGCTCATTCTCAAATTTGCAATATTGGCTTTTGTGGTTAGATTCGTCTTTCATTTGTTTATAAACACTAGGAAAGAATTTTATTAGGAAAGGTTCCATGGAAGTCACTCCTCCCATGATCCCAAGATCATAACCAAAGAGTAAACCACCCATGGCTGCTACAAAACACGTAACCAACACGAATGTTGTGATCTTACCCTCATATTGTCTTCCGTTTTCTAGAGTTACTAAAGCTCCACCCGCCATCTATCCAAATATTATACTTTAAGTGAATATGTTTGCTTGTCTTAGCAATATTCCCTTCCTTTTTTACATATTAGAGGGGAAGTAGTAGCTTGTTTTTATAATCTTAAACATGTTAATGATAGCATCTAACGGGTAAGAATGCGCGTATAATAACGAAATAGCTTCTCCGACAATATTATATCTTTTTGAGTCATTTTATTATCTATCATCCTATCAATATCCTAACTTATGCACTTTGTTTCTTTCTGTCATAACTAATGTCTTGTTTTAAGAATTTGACATAAGAACTAACTATTTGATAACTACACATCGCTTTGATAATAATTAATTTTAGAAGGATATTTTATTTTGACCATTAGTCAATGATATAATCTATTTCTAATTCAAATAATTTTCATTAACAATTGAAATTATACGATTATATATTACATTGATAAATATATTATAAAACAATAAGAGTATATTCTTAAAATATTCTTTGGGCCAAATAAATGTTGCCACTTTTTTTGTTCCTTTTTCTTTATTTTTTTCATTTTCTACTAGCATTTAAAAAAATAAAATTAGTTGTGTTCCATGTTATTAATACATGGTTAATTGATGACATGGCTAAAAGAGTTCCACATCATCATTTCGTTGTAGGATTAATGTTCTCATTGTGTCATCAATGTAACTAACATGTCATCATTTTTACGTATTTTAAATAAAATATCCTTTTCTTTGGAAGTAGGTGAAATGTTAGAGATTGTATTCAATATGTGTTCGTTCTCTTTATCCTTAGCAACCATCATCATCATCACCATCGATTGGTGTTACAGGACAATGTTGTTATTCAAGTTTAGTGCTGAAAGTTATCGTTGGTTGTGATTAAGTGAGTCCGTTGGCCATTGACTTATCGTAGTTGTTGTTCTATTTTCTAAAAGCATAGAGTATTTCAAGAGGATTCGTTAATAAATCTTTTGGTTCCACTATAGTTGGTGATGCCTTTCTCTAGAATACTCTATTACTTTAATATATCTTAATTGTGTCTTTGTGTCTGTGATCGAATGTACTGTAGTATTGTCGTCCCCCCTCCCCACTCCCCTTCGAGTGAATGAGTCTGAATGAAAGTTAATAAAGTACAAATGTTGCATCATTCCTAAGCCTCTTTATAGATTGGATATAGGAAGGATAAAATTGGAAATTGGTGGCCAATATGTGGAGGAGAAGGTTATTTTGAAGATACCCATTGTCTATTAGGAGAAAAATGTGTTCATGATTTAAGAAGACACTGCTCATACAATTATCATTAGACTTGGTTTTCTAATACAGTCACAAGGATTAGTTTCCTCAAGCAGAACCCGAAGACTCTACGTACAACTATTACAACAAAGCTAAATATGAAGAAGGATGATGACCAAAAGATTTGTACAATGAAGGGATATATTTTGTAGAACTTGGTTGTGAGATCTATAAAGTATAATAACACCAACCACAGTGATGATAGTGTGTAGCAATTACTACCACAAAGTTGAACAATATAGTGAAGATCACCTCTGGCAAGGCTTTAACAAAATGGTTGGTGTGACAAGATTTCCAAGAAAAAACAAATCTTTGAGTTTTAGTTATTAATTTTTTATAATTAAAGACAAAAATAATCTTAAAACAACCTACCATATAATACTTTTTTATAAACATCTTCCCTAATCCTAAAATCAAACTAAACTAATGTAAAAGGTTTAAATGTATTTTGGATCTTGTAATTTATACCAATATCAATTTTAGAACCATACAATTTTTTATTTCTTTGTAATTTTAAAATATTTCATCTTTAGTCTTTTTAAAGAATCTTCCTTAGAAATAAATCTTAACCAAAGGCGAAGACAAGAAACAAAAACTATAGCACAATTTTCTTAAGAAATAAAATATATTAAAAATTAAAATTATATTAAATTAAATTAAATTAGGAAAACATTAGGTGTAATACATAAAAATAAATTTTTTCATTGGCATTGATATAATTATTTACTTTTTAATTTTGTTTAAATTATTAAGAGATGATTAAATTGGTTTATAAAATAATTTAATTTTGCAAATGATTAAAGCTTCAATCGCCCCAAGATGAATTTTTCTGTGCTCTCTTAACGTCGTCGGTACCTTTGTGGGTCACTCTCAACATTTCTCACATCTCTTGAGCACTTTTACAAATGGAGATTCTGTAAAACTCATCAAGGGTTAACGAAGATGAAATAATATTTCTAGCCCTAACATCATATTGGGCTTTTCTATTTTCCTCAACCGTCCATCTAGAAAATGGTTTTGAAACTTCTACTCCGTTTTTATAAATTTTAGGAACAAAGGGACCGTTTAAAATTGCATTCCAAACACCTCTATCAACAGACTCTAAAAATATTTGCATTCTAACTTTCCAAAAGGGATAATTTTGACCCGCAAAAAGTGGGGGTCTATTGATAGAAGCACCTTCGGCAAACGTTTGATTTTATCCGGCCATTTTCGAAAATTGAATGGCTATCAAAGCAAGCTCTGATACTACTTGTTAGAATCGCGCAGCGGAATGTTTGCGTTTCCGGACAAAAACCAAGAGAGGGGTGAATTGGTTTCTTAAAAAAAATTAGGGTTTTAAAAATTTCTCCAAATTTCACCGATTAAAATGTTGTGTAAAGAAAATAGAGCAAGGATAGAGTATTACACAGACGATTTATACTGGTTCGGATCAAAAGACCCTACCTCCAGTTGCTAATCACTCAAACAGAGGATTAACGCTGTCACTATAAACACAGTTATACAATCAGATTACAAATAATAAGATAAGGTAACGAAAACACCTCTCTTGAGTCACACAAGAGATGAACACCTTCTTTGAGTCCCACAAAGGATGAAGAACAGCTTTCCCTAGAGACGGCACAACACACAATCCACCAAGAAAACCCACTTAGTGATTCTTATCGCTTCTAGCCCACATTAGGTTCCAAAAGCCCCTTTTTCCTCCAACAAATAGTTCTCTGGCAGTCACAGCTCTCAACTTTTGTTTTGAAAAAGGTTGTTCATTTTACAGAGAGCCTTAGAGAACCTTAAGTAGACGGATTAGGGTTTGGGAATTGGAAATTTTCGAAACCTGGTGAATTGGAAATAGGGTTTTCGAAACTTGGTCCAATTTTGAAATTCAAAACACATATCAGACTGAAACAATCGATTATCTTGAGTGTTAATCGATTATTATAGAGCCAAATTCACCTGGAACACATAACCACGCAGTTTAATCGATTAATAGGGTAATTAATCGATTAACAACCCTATTAATCGATTAACAGGGGCTTTAATCGATTATTCCAGAGAGCTGATACAGAAAATGGTTTTTCTCTCTGTAATAATCGATTATCCTGCCATTTAATCGATTAATCCAGTATGTTTTTGATAAAAATGAGTTTTTGAAGCTTTTAAAGAGTAGACTATGTGCTGGCTATCATAGACTCTAATATTACAGACTCAAAATCATCAAAAAAGAGTTATTACATAACATTACAAGTTTTCAAATCTTTAAGTCCTTTGTTCTTGAATCATCATCAAAATCTACAAGCTTCATATCCATGTATGTTCAACATTCATATCCTTGTATGTTTCAACAGTACCATGTCGAGAGGTTGGAAAAATTATGCGCGTTGATGCTACTGGAGGTTTGTTCCGATTTCGAGAGATCTTACGAAAGGATCCTCGACCTCTTGAGAATCTGCGTTGACCATGTATTCGTCAGAGTCTTGATCCACTTTTGGAGTTCCAGACTACATTGCTTTGAGTTCCCTCAGTTTGATTTGGTTCTGACCTTGGAAGAATATGAGCTTATGATCCGATGACCCAAGTCAGTCGGGGTTTACATTACCCAGAGAGCTTATATTTCAGTGAACAGGGTCGCCAACCTTATCCGATTGCCACTTCAACAGTCTGCCCTAATGGGAAAAGGGAGTACCTAAGGGTGCAATATCTCTCTGCTAGAAAACCATTTATCCTCTTTGGCTGATAAAGGAGATTGGTCTGCATTCAACATCACTCTAGCATTAATTGTGTTTGGGACCTTTTTGTTCCCTTTCCATATTGACACCGTGGATCAAGCCACGATGGATGCCTTTTTCGCCTAGGATGTACACTTGAAGAGTCTCGTGCCTGCACTTCTTGCCGACACCTTGCTGTCAATAGAATTCTATCATCACAAGCAAGGAAAAACACTCAGATGTTGTTCTACATTGTTGTATGTCTGGGGCATCACTCACTTCTATGCCTCAAGCCACATGGGAGCTTTCCCCGATCCTTTGAGGAACTTCTCAAAGATCCCTCTCCATCGTCATCAAGCCATGGAATGGAAAATCGAGTTGGAACACTGGAACATAGATCATATATCTTGGGTCTGCCCATGGTTCTGACCCGGCCAGATCCTCATTAGATGCAGAGATCACCCAAATGTACCATTGCTGGGCCTTAGCGGCTGCATAGCCTATTCCCCAAGGATAGCTATGAGGCAGCTTATGAGGACCCAAACCGTGCCAGCACGAGAAGAACTCGAGGGACTGTGTTTCTTCTGTAATTCTAGTAGCTTCAAGGATGCGCTTGTAGTCCGAAAAGCATGGGAGAGACCAGTCTATATAGGGGATGGAGAGCTTGGCAAGGCTCGAGTGGTTGTTTCTAGTGACTATGAGGAATGGAGAAAAAGTAGAAGGGTGCCACAACCACCCGCTCCACTCGCCTCACCATCAGCAAATGGAGAGTTGAAAACTCAAGTCGATGCCTTGACCCAAATGATAGAAATCATGGGAGCCCAGTTGAGGGCCCTTGAGGAGAAAGAACAAGAATCTATCCTTACCATTGACGGTCTGCAAAGGCAGTGCAAGAAGGACCAAGAAATAGAGCGT